AGGGAAAGGTATTGCTACACAAATAAAGTTTATTTTACTGATGCTTTGGGTCCCTTATTAAATTTCAAAGATAAACTTTACAAAGTATAATTATTTGACTTGAATTCAAGCGGTTAAACAATGAAAATACTAGATAGGGTTTAATAACTTCTAAAAGTAGTTATTCAACTAGGTACTAGATACTAAGGAACTGCTTTAAACTAAACTGTCTATAATTCAGAGATAAAGAGACAGTAAAATCTAAGGCCAAAACTACGACCTTGACATTTGGTTCAAAGCCAAGAATAAAACCAAGACTAAAGGTTCCATGACCAAGACAAAGACATCAAAAAGTTAACCCGAGACCAAGTTTAAGATTTTGAAAGTTTTGGCGAGACTAAGATTCTTAAAGGTCTAACACGATAATACTCCACACATTAATGTATACTATTAGGCCTTTATTTGATGTTTTGTTTTAACATTTATACACTTTATTCTATTATAAAACGTAATTACACATGTATAATATAATTATGTCATCGTATATTGTGTAGTGCACTGTTGCAATCTACAAAAGATACTTAATAATAGCAGAAAACAAACTTATATTGTTAAAAACAAAATTTACCAATAAAATATGATGCAAGACCAATACACTGTGAAACTAGGAATAGCAAACATATAGCAGACATGATAGACTAATAGCCATAAACAAATAAACAAATAAAAATTTTAAAGCTTACATATTCTATTTAAGTAATTTTTGTACTGAAATGAAACAGACAAATATGTATCACGTGATTTTAAAACGATTTGACATTCAAAAAAAGACTAGTGCGTAAAGAAATAGAGTACACATCTTTCTTTGTACACATTTTTATGATTGTAGAAAGTTGCGGTGATCAACGATTTATTAATAATTATTAATCCATCCATTGTGTTGATGTTTTTTGTAAGGATCAAGAAAGTGCAAGGCAGTAAAGATCTGAGACCAAAATCTAGACTAATACTTAAGGTTTTCAATACCAAAACCAAGAACACAAGCTTCAAAATCCGAGACAAAGATAGTTAAATACGAGTCTCGAGACATCTCGAGACCAAGAGTTTAGTCTCGAGACTTACATTTCTGGAATAGTTCATGAGCCCATGACTCATAGTTCATGAGCCCATGACTCATAGTTCATGAGCCCATGACTCTAAAATATTATTGACTTGTTGAAATTCAAATTTATTTTATTGTTTAATTTATTTCATAGTTTAGCTGTTTTAAAAAAAAATGTTGTTTTTTTCATCTTGTTGTATTTAAATTTGAAATCGGTTAAAATATATTAACTGAATATTTTTTGAATAAACATTTTTTACTAAATAGTTTTTAAATGCATTTTTATGTTTCCGTGTGACAGCCGATTGAAATGAATTAATTACAATTAATAAAAATATGCCAAAAGTTGTGAACGTGTTTTAATGGCAAATCAGTCCCAGAAATGTATAACATATTTATATTTTGCATGAATGCAGTGTTTAAAATAAAGGCGAATATTTTGGATAAACAATGATCTTAAAGAATTATTAAAATTAAAAAAATCCTTAGATTTCGCAACTGTTCCTCAGGGTAGAAAGTATCTTCTCTTGTGAATGAATACAAAAAAATTTGCAAGATAGTCAAAAACGAATCAAGAAAAGCTAGACAAAATTATGAAAAAAACTTAGTGACATTGGCTAAGAAAAATCCATAGTTAATTTACAAATATGCGAATAGCTAACAACAAATCAATAAGTCAATAAAAGCTTTACATAATGAAAATGGAATAGTGACAAATGACCAAAATCAAATCGTAAGTTTACTAAATAACAAGTTCCAAGATGTATTTGTCCGTGAGAATGACTTTAATTTGCCAGCATTTGCGTCTAAAATCAATAAAAGTTTGGATTTTGATATAATCTCATACAACGATATTCTTGATAGATTAGAATGTTTAAATACAGAGAAGTCGTGTGGAGCAGACCTTATTAAACCTTTAATCTTAAAAAATTGCGCATATGGAATAGCTCTACCGCTTGCACATATATTTACAGCTTCCATTGTTCTTAGTGAACTACCTGTTCAGTGGAAATCAGCCAATATTAGTCCTCAATTTAAAAAAGGAAGTAAACTGTCGCCGTTGAATTATCGTCCAATTTTACTTACTTCTGTACCTTGTGAAATTCTAGAAGGAGTTGCGCAATTTTAATTATGAATTTTCTAAATCCAATTAATCATCTTTCAAAAAATCAACACAGCTTTGTCAAGAAAGATCTTGTTCAACAAACCTTATTGAGACATTAGATGCAATCTCGTATTATTTATTTATCTCAGAATATATCTGTAGATGTAATTTACTTAAACTTCGCAAAGGCCTTTTGATTCATTGCCCCATAAAAGACTACTGATAAAGCTTAAATGTTATGGGATTTTTGGTACATTGTTAAAATGAGTTAAAGCATTTCTAAAAAATAGAAGACAAAGAGTTTTCATGAGAGTAATTGTCTCAGCTTGGAAAGATTTAGTGGTGTGCTGCAGGGCTCAGTTATTGGCCCTTTACTATTTATTATTTATATCTATGATTTGCCTGACAACTTTTTTAATATTTCGAAAATATATGCTGATGATGCAAAGGTATTATCAAGGGTTGATTGTGAAACAAGTGTTAACCTATTGCAAAATGACCTAGATAAAGGTGTCAACTGGTCGAACAAATGGCTATTAATTTAAATGTCGAACAAATGGCTATTAAATTTAATTTTGAGAAGCGTTTGATATTGCACTTTAGTAAAAATAACCCTATAAGAACTTATTTTATGTAAAATATACCTTTAAGTACCATTGTCGCTGAAAAAGATCTTGGTGTAGTATTTACCTCTGACTTGAAATGGAAAAATCAAATAACTCTATGTGCGAGTAAAGCAAATAAAATTTTGGGTATGTTGAGGAATACATTTTTAAGTTTAAATAGTGAATTACTAAAAACTATAAACACAAATTTTGTAAGACCGTTAATTAAATTTGCTGTAATTAATTTCTAAGAAAAGGTACAGCTACAAGAATAATATCGCCACTAAAAAAACTATGCTATAAGAAAAGATTAGATAAAATGGGTCTCACTACTTTAGTTTTAAGACGGATTCAAGGTGACTTGATTCAAATGTATAAGTTAATCAATGGAATTGAAAAAGTAAATTTAATTAATGAATTTTTGCAAAAAAGTTATCAATCAGCAAGAGGTTATCAAATAAAATATAATCGCGAAATAACCAGTTTTTTGCCTCGGCATTATTTTTTAACAAACAGAGCATCTTTTTACTGGAATCGAATACCTACTGATGTCGTTAAAGCTATTTTTGTGAATTCTTTTAACGCTAAACTTGACTTATGGATTTTAAATAACTTGTAACTATCTTGAATTGATATAACTGTCTAAGTGTACTTGGTACACTGACCGAATTATCACAGCTCAAATATATTACTATTACTAACGTTTAAAACTTCAAAAAATATAATAATACAATAATGTGTAAATTAATTACAAGTATTTAATACTAATAACTAAATGATTGATAAGGATGGTGTCACTCAAACAGAATTCAAAGGAGTGGCACCAGTTTTTAAATATAATATGATTAATAATAAGCATACATATATAGAATATACATAAACTAAGTAATCATTTAAAAATCATACTTTGATGATAATTATAAAAAATAAACAAACAAGAAGTTAATGATAATAGTTGTAGTAATCATAATTAAAAAAATAAGAATATATTTTAAATATTAAGTGACAATCATATCAATAAGTTAGAACAAAATTGTTTACAGAATATTTTTTAATTTCTAAGCATTCCAAAGTTATGTTTATTGCAAAAAATAAAGACTTATTTTTCCTCAGATGCATTTAATGGTATAAATTAACTAACAAAGACGAATCGAAGTGATTCTAGGGCGGATTCTTAATAGAACGTCTTTATCTACTATCATCATTACTAGATAGTCTGCATCTGCCCCCGTTAACTAACAATATAAAAAATAATAAGCTTGACAACCAATGCTATAGTTCTAAAAGATTTCCAAGCATGCACTACATCACAGTTTTAAGATGTAAGCATGTAACGATTGGAAACTAAAAACTAAAATCTCAAGTCATATTGTATCTACATATGTCTATATACAAGTATCTACCTTATATTTGTGTACATACTAGTATCTACCTTATATATGTGTAAGGACGACAAAGAAAGTTGAGGAAGAGTTCATGTTAAGTGAACTCCAATCAAAACTTTGTCGACGTACATTAGTTAGGTAAAACTAGCGTTTTGCAATTCTGTCCGCTTTCTCTATGCTATCTTTCTAACACAATTATTTCTGCTTTTCACTCTGACATATCTTCGTTCTTTCCAAACTCACCTTACTCTCGGTCCATAGAGCAGGTTATGACGCTCCTTTAGGAGCTGAAACAAGTCTCTACGGACCTAGGTAATGTGGCCTCCACAAAGCAATTAGCTGGCGGAGGATAAACCACAAAACCTATATGTGTAATTAATAAAGGGTACATTTGCAAGTTGAAAATTATTTTTATGTAAAGTTTATGCAACAATTATAATCCTAAAAGAATCGTAAAGAAAAATTATGAGTTACAAGTAAACGGCGAAATTTTTTTTTTTTTAATATTAAGGTAGATTACTAACTCAATATTGATGTTTAAATATTTACGATAATCTGTTTATAAATAGAATACTCGGATATAATGTTTTAAAATTTTGAGAAAACCTATTTTTTCCATAAAACCTGCGCGAAGTATCAATTTCAAGAATATCTGAGCTGGTAGAGGAGCTTTTCAAAACTGTGGCTTTTTTATTATTTAATGACCATGGAATGTAAAAATAATTTTAAAAAGTCACTTTTCAGAAATTTATTCAAAGAAACTTTAATTTTTTTAAATATACTTTAATTTTTTCTAATCAGTGTAAACAAAAAAAAAAACTAACCTGTTTTACTAAAGACATTGTAATGTTGCCACGTATAAGAGGAGTAAGTTCTCCTCGTAATAAGATTGATTCGTAATCATGAAGAAAAATTCGTACAAAACCAATGATTCGTATATCATGACTGTATAAAAGATCCCTTACTGTAAACCGCAATATTCCACTTTTCAACATATCTACACTTAAAGGAAATGCAAACTCTTGATCGTACATGGGGTGTGGAGCATCATCAGGATTTGAAGTGACTTCTGATTCATCATTGCCTTCTAATTGTATGGATATAGCAGGAAACTTTAAAACATCTTCTAAATCGCCTGAATGAATTTCTTTTCCTGATATTAGCGCAACATTTAATAGTTCTTCTGAAATAGAGTATTGAAGAGTTATCTCAATTTTTCCGAAACCTTCGGCACGATTTTCACTTTGGATTTTGGAAATATCTTCGTTGTTAAAACTTAACCTTTTTTTGTCATTACCTTTTGATGAATTTTTAAACCGGTCTAAAAATCGATCTTTGTTTTGATTTTTTTCAAATGAATGGGAGCGTTCATGAGGATGATGAATTTCGTTATCTTTTACAAATTCTGACAACAGTTTATCGTCCATCGATTCATCGTAAACCAACCTTTGACGCTTCAGTGGAGCTGGTTTTTTAGAAACAAGTTTAACTTTTATATACGAATTTGAAGGAGGTTGGATTGGATTTCGTAATGTACCAATCACTTTATTGTCAACATGTTCGCGTATTGTATATTTACGCAATAAACTTCGAGTTCGATTTCTTGCGCGCCTTTTATTGTATAATGAAATAGCTGCTATAACCGCTCCGGAAAATATTATACCAAGTAGAATCAAGAACCCAATTAACGGGGCCCCTAAATTATTAAGAAAAGAAATACTAAAATATAGTTTTAGTTAACTAAAATATAGTTTTAATTAACTATTGTCAAACTTTTTAATATATAAAGTTGGCCATCACTCGATGTAGTTAAAGACACTTCAACAGGTCTCTACAATACCACTAATTTTTATAATAATTATTAAATAAAAAAATGTTTTCGTTCGAAAAAAAATTATGAATTGATTGAAAAAGACAATCGGAAAAATATTTTTGATAAGCCTTTTCATTAAAATATATTTTTAGGTTTTACAGTGGTATGAAAACTTTTATTTTTAGCCGAAATTAAAAAAAAATTTTGATAACATTTTTTATTATTATTTTTTTTAAATTCTACATTATACAGTATGGTATAGTGAAAACAACTTTTTTCAGAAATTCATATTTTCTCCCTGATTTCTATAATAAGTATAGAAAAACTAGAAAAATGAGACCAAAATGAGCAAAATTGGACAAGAACTACCCCAGCACCAATTTTTGGACTATTCTAAACCAAAAGTTTCCAAATTTTCTACATTTAATACAGGCGCGGATCCAGCGTTTTTTGGTGTTAAAGATAGCTAACAGACATCGAGCAAACTTTAAACATTTATATGTTTATACTTACATCAAATAGGGGTGCTTTACAAAAAATTGCAATGATTGGGGCCCGTAAACAAAAATGCCCCAAACAAATTATCCCCCTACCCCAAATTTGAGGGCAACTAGTTTGCAACATATTTTTTTTACTTTTCTCAACTCGATTAGAATTCATCAATAGATTTCAAATTTCATGAAATAATCTCTTAGTATTCAAAAGTTATCCCCCATAAAATTATTCCGCCACAATTTGAGGGGGTCGCAATTTTTATGTTGCCATAAATTTTGAACAATAAGAGATTAATTCATGAAATTTGAAATTTATCGATAAAATCTAATTGAGTTGAGAAAAGTTACAAAATAATGTTGCAAACTAGTTGCCCTCAAATTTGGGGTAGGGGATAATTTGTTTGTGGCATTTTTGTTCCCAGGCCCCAATCATTGCAATTTTTTGCAAAGTATCCTAATTTGACATAACTATAAATATGAATTTTTAAAGTTTGCTCCATGTCTGGAAGTTAGCTATCTCTAACAACAAAAACGCTGGATCTGCCACTGATTTAATATTTATTAATTTAAATAATAATTATTAGTTTCATTTCTTTCAAATAGATTTATATTAATTTATAAACAGGTTATTTTAGAGATTTTTAGAATTGAAGAGGTACATATAATACAAAATATTTATACTTATAGAGTAAAAATTGTACTAATTAGTGTTATAATGTGCCTTGGTATTAAATATTGGCATATTCTTCCTAGATTGAAGACGGACACGTATCTTACCATCTCTATTTATCTCGCCACAAACTGATGCGGAAACTTCTGTCATCATCTTTACACAACGTTCCACTGCTTACGTGTTGCACGGGAACTTATCCATAAGGTCAGAAAGTAGAATGCGATGCTCTTTTACCTCCTCGAGCTGCTCGTTAGTGAGCTGCATTGTTAATGGTGGCTCCAACAGCTCCAAATTACTCCAATCAATCAACTCCCACGTATTATTTGCCATAAAATTCAGAGTAGGAACTTTGAACTGACGCATACTTGATTGGTTAGCTTTCATAACTTTTTCTTTTCTAGCTCTTTGTATACGCTAAACACCTAATTCTTGGATATGTGGCTGATCATCTGCCACATATTTGAGAATATTCTTGATGATGAACCACATAGGGGCATAAACTCGCATAATGAACGTCGATAAAATTACCAAATTTGATGAGGGACTGCTGGTAGAAACATATATTATGAGGATCCTATTGGCAGTGGCGAGCCACCTAGAATGAGCCAGTTTCCCAGTGCTGCGTTTCTCTAGGTTGGTAGAACAAATACCACTTAATACTGCTTGGCAGATGTCAAAAAGATAATGTTGATCTGTACTGAGCACTTTTCTGTCCACCTCTGGCATTTCTACATTATGGTTTATAGGTTGAAAATCAACAATTTTTAAGTCCTCACAACTTTCAAGGGACTTTCCGATTAAGCCTGGATAGCATCTCGGACCAGATGTTGGACCGTCCAACTTTCCAAACAAATGGCGTAGTGGAAGCTTGTTTGCATGTAGCAAACAAATTACCCATTGTAGAGGCTGTTAAAGTTCTAACTCAATCAATCTGATAACACCACCCTTTTTTCCTGTGTTTACATTTGTTCCACAGCCCAGCACTTGCAAATCATCCAAAATAATATTGTGCTCTTTAGAACACTGTATAATTGCAAATTTTAGTGGTTCAGCTGTTCCGCTAAGAGGAGTGCAGTGTCCCAAGTAACCTCCACCAGGTTCCTGAATCAAAGATATGTGCTCCTCCATCACTATGGTTCTCTTACTACTGTCAAATTTGAGTGTTCGGTCTTTTTTGCCATCAAAGTACAACTCCTTTACTTGGATTTAACCAACTTTCTGGTTATCTCTTGTTTTTATGCGGTCACGCCTGCGGTCAATGACTTGTGTTTTGTTATCATATGAAATAACTCCAATATCCTCAAGTACATCTGATGCCACAGCTGCAGCTGATCTGTCTAAGAGTCCATAGCGGTCAGAAGCTAATGAGAGAGAAGGGAGAGACAATCGCATCTGCTTTGAAGATGAAGGTGTTAATGACTGGGTGTTTTCAACGATAGCAGGCCGTTTTGAGGTAATAGGTTTGGTAGAAATAAAAGAGTCTAATGACACTGCATAATTAAGGTTTGAGCTCAGTTTAGTTTGGATATTTGGATATTATATATATATATATATATATATATATATATATATATATATATATATATATATATATATATATATATATATATATATATATATATATATATATATATATATATATATATATATATATATATATATATATAATAAAAGTTTTATACTTTCGTTTGACAGAAAAGTTAATAACCGTTTCCAAAAGTTATTAAAAATAGAAGAAGAATTTCTTGGAAAACTACAATATTTTTTAATTTATAATTATATGCATATATGTATAAATTTAAAATTATAAATATATGCATGTATTGGACTAGCTCTAAAACATGGACCGGGAAAACCATTAGTGACCGGCCTCATCAAATTGTAACATCTTATTCACACTTCTTGTTTTTTTAAATGTCTTGTATTAATTAAAATAAAAAGGATGGATTACAGTTTTTTCTATAATCCAGTTAACGAGAGAGGAAGGGGAGGGGGTTGTATTGGCAGACGATCTCGCACCCAAATGAAACAGCCCAAGGTTTCTTCTAAAAAGGGATCTAGTTCTAATTAACAACTTTTCACAACTTTTTAGGCTTTGTTAAACTTGCTTAAATTTCATGGAGATTTAATTTAAAAAAGTCGGCGGCCACAGCCACAAAAGTTGACCGGCCTTTTTGGGAAATTTTCAGGTGTCCCGGTGGGCTAGTCCAACCCAAACATATATATATATAATTTTTTTAATCAAAAATATTGTAATATATAGTTTAATTTGAAATAATAACTTTTTATTATTGTATATTTACATAAATTATTGATGTTTGAAATTAGCATAAAATAAAAGTTTTTTCTTTAATTTCAACTTTTTCCTCAAATAAAAGTCCGCATGCGTCGGCTTGATCAATATGATTTTATTAAATCTCAATATAAATATACAATTTTGAAAAAAAAAATCAGCTGCGTATATTATTATTCAAGCTAACTTTAAAGCTCTTTAAAAATATATAGTTTATGTTATCAAAAAATAAAAGTGTATCTATTTTTGCTACATTTTTAAAATAAACTGGCTGGATTTACGCGCTCGAAAGCCGTAAAATACACACTCGGAAACCGTAAATAAACATTTTCAAATGTTTAAATACAATTTTACTTGCTTTCTAAATTGTTAAAAATTATTCAAATATTTATTTTTAATTGATTTTTATAAAATATTCCTTATATTTAACTATATGATAATATTTAAAAAAATGCATATTTTGGAACAAAAATCTATATTATGGTACATAATCAAAAACTAGAACGCCAGCTTGTACGAAATTGTGAAAAACGATATAACTTTTTTTCAAATAGAGTTGTTGTCTTATAGAATGCGCTTTCCCAAGCAGCAGTGACCGCACCATCAATCAATTGTTTTTAAAGACAGCTTAGCAAAGTAACTTTTAGGAGACACAAATGCCTGTAGCTTCTCTTTATTTTTTTTCCTTCAGCATAGAGGGGCCTGGTGTAGCACCACTATATCAAACTATAAACAGATCTATTGTATTTTTTTTTTAATTTTAATTTTTTTTTGATGACTGAATAATAAATAAATACATAAATAAAATTAAAAAATAAACTTAAGGTCCATGTAAAATGCAAAGTCCACTATACTGTTTAATTATAGTATATTTTAGGTATCAATGATTACTTGATAATTCCTAAAAAAATCAGCTGCGTATAATTATAATGAAGTAATCTATATCAAAGTATACCGTATTAACACTATACTTGTTGTTTTTCTTTTCCAAATGTTTTCGACATTATGTACCTATATAAATTTGAAATAATATGAAATCACAAGCAAAATATCCTTTTAGGAATTCTTGAGTAGACCGATTTTGACAGTTACAAAACAACAAAACCTTAACATCAAAAATGATTTTTTAAATTTTGATTCACCACGATCGATTTAATTTAAAAACATCAAAGATTTAATTTCGGCAAAAAAATGTTTTCAGACCGGTCTGCGTTGTTAAGAAAAGTATTATGCTTAGATTAATTTTCACTACCAATTTTTTTATTTTGATTTTTGATTTAAAAAAAAATATTTATTAAATATTAAAAAGTATATTACTTTCGATTTGTAATTAGTAAGATCTTTCAAACTTTCATTTAAACTATTTAAAGTTGATTTATTACTAAATTATTCACTTAAAATAGTAGAAATTTTTTTTTAGATA